GCCCTGGAGTCTTATCTCACTATCTTTGAGCTTCCTATCTTACCAGCCATTACGTTGCCCAGTAAGATACCAACACTGTTTAAGATACAATACACACGTTCATAGCGGCATCGTTCGCAATGCCCAAAAGGCAGAAGCAAAGCAGGTGCCCGCCTGCAGGTGCATGGATGAACGAAACGGGGCAAGTCCACACAAGGGCACACTTATTCAGACGTAAGGAGTGAAGCACTGACACATGCTGCCACGTGCAGGAATCTCCAAGACACGTTAAGTGAAAGAGCCAGTCACCAAAGGACAAGCGCATGGTTCCACCTACATGAGCTGCACAGAGGGTCCAAGCCGCAGACACAAAGCGGACGGGCGGCTGCCCGGGGCTGGGGTGCAGGGCACGGGGAGTTGCTGTCTAAGGGGCGCAGTTGCCGACTGGGAAGGTTAAACGTTCTGGCGATGGAGGGTGGTTAAGACTGTACAACCACCACGGGAATGTGCTGAATACCGCTGAACGGTGCACTAAAAATGAACAGATGACCTGAAAGTTCCCTGCGCTACAGACTGAAGTCAGCGGTCCCTAAACGGCGATGCTCCCCTTCAATACGGAATGCGCGTGCGCGCGTGCACCGGGCCATGAATGGGAACTAGGGCACTGCCATCATCACCATGACCGTTACCACCATGACGACGACGACGGCAGCTTCGGGGGGCAGGTCAAACGGGAGGAAAGGGAGCGACGCGCGAGGAGCGCCAGGCTGGCCCCTCGGTTCCGAAGCCGCGCGCCCTGTTGGCGGTTCGCGCGAGTCCCGCAAACGACCGCGAGAAGGCGGGTTCAACGAGCCCCTCCTTCCCGGTGCCTGAGGGCCCGCCCCGCCACGCCCCCTGCGGCCCAGGCCCCGCCCTTCGAGGGGTAGGGGCTCGGCTGTGTCAATAAAGTTGCAGCGGTTTGACTTTGCGGCGGACAACATGGCGGCCTCCATGCTGGCTCGGCTGCTGCGAACCGCCCGGCAGGNCCCTAAACCCGCGGGCACCCCGCTACTCTGCCACCTGTAGAGCCCAGTGCGGACCCCTCGCAGGGGAGGCCCGAGCCGATGTAAATTCGGTATCCGTACACGAGAAGCTGACTAGCATTGAAAGCTCCGGCGTGGCTCCGATTTATAAGGAAGCGAGTGCGGGTGGGAAAGAGAGGGCGTCAGAGGAGGGAGGCCCCGGGGACTCCATCGTTAGGAGATGAGCCCGGCGAAGGAGACTCGAAAGGGGCTCAGCGAGGGAGGAGGGAGGCCGGGAGCGTGGCGGCCGGGCAGCGGAGGTGACGCGCTCTCGGAGCGGGGCCGGGTAACCGCTCGGAGCTGACGGCCCGTTGGGAGGGCTGAGCACGGGCTGTTGGGGTTCGCCTGGCGGAGGTTGTGAGGACAAAGAAACTGGACACTACTAGGAGGACACACAAGCCTTTGAAGATACTTTCCTGCAAAGTGGGGCAGAAAAATTAGTAGCCGGAGGAGTGGTGAGTTAAGGGTGGGTGTTTTGTGTGTGTGTGTTTGACATGGCAGAAGTAACTGCGTGTTTTTGTGGTAAAGGGAGAGATTCTGTAGATGGGCAGAAGAAATGGAGAGGGAGAAATCGCTGGGCTGCACGTACCCCGGGGTGGGCAAGAGGTGACGGTCTCATGAGGTTCGATTGTTTGGTCTTAGGGGCAGGGACCGTTCATCTGTAGTAACCTTATTTAATAGAAATATAATGCCAACCACATACGCAACTTAAAATTTTCTAGTAGCACCTGTAGAACGTTTTTAAAAGATGAAGTTAATTTTTCTCCCCCAGTCGTGGGAGAAAAAAGAGCTACAGGGGAAGCCTTCAGAAGGGAGTCAAGATTCAGCTAGAGCAAACATCTGAAGTTGTTGAGAGAAGAAACTGAGGATTTAGATTTTGATGGTGGTGAGTTGAAGAGCGCCCAGTGGAAGAGTTTTAGGAGGTGAAGAGGAGTGAGGCAGAGGGGCAGGATAGGATGTGTACAGAACAGAAAAAAGGCAACCTTAATATATAAAGCCATGTTATAAACTGATAAAAAAATATATATATAATAGAAATATGGGCAAAGAATATAAAACATTCACAGAAGAAATAATATAAACCAATACATTTTTTAAAGTGTTTAGTTTTAAAAGTGTATTACTTTTATAGTCAGGAAAAAGTTATATAAAGAATGAAAGATTTAAAAAAAAAAAATACAGGGTGTCCAAAAAAATGTATACACACACTATGAAAACTTATAAAGGCAGTGTGAGTTAAAATGCATTTAATTTTCAAAATTGAGCTATCAGCTGTTAAAGTGTGTTTTGGGGGACACCCTGTGGAAACCTGTTAGGAAATGATAGAGAGGTAGTTGGTTAGAAATAGTTCGAAAAAGAATTGGAGGAAAAAAATGTTTTACCTTCCAATACCCATTTTTGGCATTGTATTACCACCATTTTGGCCTAATGTACATCCATAAAAAGTATTTATTCTGAATTAAGTCTGTTATTTAAAATTACTAAAGTGATTAAAAAATACTAAAAAAAATAGTTGGTCAGGAGTAGTGACTGAGTACTGCAGGATGGGGACACTGGGACTGACTATCTTTCACTTGTTCCTTGTCTCTTTTAGATGGTTCCTTCATCAGCTTCAGGTCAAGTTCGAGGTTACTACGTAGACTGGAAAATGTTGCGTGATGTGAAGAGACGAAAAATGGCTTATGAATATGCAGATGAGAGGCTACGGATTAATTCGATCAGGAAGAATACCATTTTGCCAAAATACCTTCAGGTTAGCTAATTAAGATGAGTCCTTGTCCACCCAAGATCATTAACTCAAATCAGATCACTTTTGATATTATTTGTTGTGACTATCAAAATAATTTCTAGAGACTATGATCAAATGCTCTCAGTCAACACAAATGAGTACTCTTGAAACTGATTTTGGTGAGTTTCAGATTAAAGAGAATTAGTCATTCCTAGCTACTAAGTTTTTAACCATTTCATTAGGTGATCCTTAGAAAGTACTGGGGCATGGTAACCACACAGAAATTGGGCAGCTATTTGACCTCAGGTCTCTCCCCCACCTCGTCCCAATGCCTGAGCTTTGCTGATGTACGGGGCTGTGTTCTTCACCCAGGGCCATTCCTAGCCTACCTGTCTGAACTCCTTTTCCCACCTCTGTGTGCTGAAGTGGCCTTCCATTTAGGTTTACTTTCTTATCAGACTCCTTAACTTGTTTGGTTTCCTAAAGCATAAGGTCCTGCACCTAACTGGTGACATAGAATACCTGCATTCAAGGGTTACCTCAGGGAGTATAACTCAAACTCAGGGCCACTCAACTTATCAAAAGCTCAGAGTAAAAATAAAATTCATTTGTAGAAGTTGGCAGAATATATAGGCCATTCATTACCATAGATTCTTTTAAATCTTGTCTAGACTAAGCCAGAGGAACAGAAAACTGAGTGTCCTGGACCACTCCATTACAGCTTTTACCACAGTAGCATTAAGGTACTTGCCTTTATTTAGGGAGTAACAAGAAGTGGCCCTCAGCTCAGGATATTATGGAGGACATTCTTTATGAAGAATCCTTGGAGAAACGTCTCTGGTATGAGAAGCAGCAATAGCTATGGAAAGACTCTATGAATTGTGAGGACTGATTGTGGCTCTGTGTTGCCTGCCAAGTAGCTTCCAAGTCAATATTTACATCCCAGTTCTAACCAAGTTACAGGCTTTCACAGCACATACCTGTCTCATTTTCCCTTTTCCCTATTTTCCTCATTATAAACAAGGAGAGGTGGGGGGGTATACATATTATGTACATACATAAATAAGTAATCTGTAGCTATTCTTCAAGGTCTGCCTCCATGAAACTTTACTTCAGTTTTCCAATTTGGTCATTTCTCTCCTCTCCAGTTCTTCCTGTAGCACTTACTATCTACCATTCATTGACCTAATTGTGTTGTTTTATATAATTCTCTAAGTATTTCATAATAGCAACACATGTATAAGCTTTTGGAGATCAGGAACTATTCTTAATGCTTAAGAGTTTATGTTAATTTAGTGGCTTTCATGTGCATTTTCTCATTTAATTTATGTACTTTTAATATGTTGGAGGAATTATTTTGCTTCTGCCACAGTCTAGCACTGGGTCAGTCATCCTTGTCAGAAATTGAATATAATAGACAGGCACACACACACTTTTAGGCACATACATAAGAATACATTTCAACTGACAAACCGTAGTGCAAGCTACTGCAGTAATCTGTTTTTCTCCTCTCAACCACTTTTGCCCTTCCCAGACTCACTCTCTACACTGCAGATGATCTTTTAAATACGTAAATCTAATCTGATCATTCACCTTTGCTTCTCCATCAGTCAGAACCTTTACCACAGATGACATGGCTCTTTTGGATCCTACCCTTCCTCCCTTCCCAGCCTCATCTCAGCCACATCTGTTCCTACTTCTTCCTCAGCCCAGAAGTTTCATACTTTCATGACTCAAAAATCATATGGGAAATAACCTAACTTTATACCTCAAGGAACTAGAAAAAGAAGAGCAAATTAAGCCCAGAGTGAGCAGAAGAAAGGAAATAACAAAAATAAGAGTAGAAATAATGAAATAGAGACCAGACGAACACTAAAGATCCATGTAACTATGAGCTGGTGATTTGAAAAGATAAACAAAATTGACAAACCTTTAGCTAGACTAAGAAAGTAAAAAAGAGAATACTCAGATAAAATCAGAAATGAAAGAGAAAACATTGCAACTGGTCCCACAGAAATACAAGATCATAAGAGAGTGATTTAAACAATTATATGCTAACAAATTGGATAACCTAGGAGAAATGAATAAACTCCTAGAAACATAACCTACCAAACACTTAAAGAAGAATTAACACCAAACCTTCTCAGACTCTTCCAAAATATTGAAAAGGAGGGAACACACCCACATCTATTTTATGAGGCAGGAATTACCCTGATAGTAGATCCAGATAAGGACACTACAAGAAGAGAAGGCTACAGGCTCATATCCCTGATGATTATAGATGCAAAAGTTCTCAACAAAATATTAGCAAAACAAATTCAATAGCATAGTAAAAGGATCATACACCATGATCAAGTGGGATTTGTGCCTGGTATGCAAGGACAGTTCAACATGCAAAGAAATAAATGTGATATACCACAGTTATACATAGAATGAAAGATTAAGATTATATGATCTCAATGGATGCAGAAAAAGCGTTCTACAAAATTCAGCATCCTTTCATGATAAAAACTCACCAACTTAGGTATAGAAGGAACATACCTCAGCATAAGCAGCCCACAGCTAATATACTCAACAGTGAAAGGTTGGAAGCTTTTCCTCCAAGATCAGGATGCCCCTTCTTAACACTCCTATTCAACATAGTACTGGAAGTCCTGGCCCAGAAATCAGGCAAGACAAAGAAGAAAAATGCATATAAATTGAAAGGAAGAAGTAAAATTATCTTTCTTTGTAGAATATACGATCTTATATACAGAAAATCCTGAACAGTTCACCAAAAAACTGTTTGAACTAATCAATGAATTCAGTAAAGTTTCAGGATACAAAATCAGCATAAAGAATTCAGATGCACCCTGGTCTGGTAGCTCAGTTGGGTTAGGGCATCATCCCAAAATGCCAAGGTTGCAGGTTCAATCCCCAGTCAGGGCACATACAAGAACCAACCAATGAATGCATAAATAAATGGAACAACAAATCGAAGTTTGTCTTTTCCCCTTCCTCCCTCTCTCAAAAAAAAAAAATTTAGATGCATTTCTATATACTAACAAAAACTATCTGGAAAAAATAAAGAAAATCCCATTTAAAATAGCATTCAAAACCAGTAAAATACCTACGAATAAATTTAAGGTGAGAGATCTGTACCCTGAAAACTATAAGGCTGATGAAAGAAATTGAAGAAGACATAAATAAAAAGATATCCTGTGTTCAGGATCAGAAGAGTTATTGTTAAAATGGCAATACTACACAAACCCATCTATAGGTTCTGTGCAATCCCTATCAAAATTCCAGTGGTATTTCTCACAGATAATACAATAATCCTCAAGTTCATATGGAATGTAAAAAAAACATCAAATAGCCAAAGCAATCCTGAGAAAGAACAAAGCTGGAGGCATCACACTTCCTGATTTCAAATTTTTATTACAAAGTTATACTAATTAAAATAGTATGGTACTTGCATAAAAATAGACCAGTGGAGCAGAATCAGGAGTCCTGAAGTAAACTCATGCATATATGGTCAACAAATATTTGACAAGGGAGCCAAAAATAATAGGGGAAAAGATAATTTCTTCAGTAAATAGTGTTGGGGAAACTGGATATTTAAATACAAAAAAATTAAATTGGACCCTTATACTACTCACAAAAATGGGTTTGAAATGTGTTAAAGATTTAGGAGACCTGAAAATGCAAAATGCCTAGAAAAAACATTAAAACTCTTTCATATTGGTCTTCGCAACAATTTTTTAGGTGTGATGCCAGAAGTGCAAGCAACATAAGCAAAAATAAACAAGTGGGAATACATCAAACTAAAAAGCTCTGCAAAAGAAACAACGGGAAAAGGCAACCTACAGAATGGGAGAAAAAATTTGCAAACTACATCTGATGAAGCGTTAATATCCAAAACATACAAGGAACTCAACTCACTGGCAAAAAAAAAAAAAAAATCCAGTTAAAAAATGAGCAGAGAAAAAACACACAAAAAGAAAAAAACTAGAAAAACGTGACAAAAAGGAAAAACAAAAATAAAATGAAAAAAAAGGGGGCAGAGACAGGTAACATAGTTAATACTGTAACTTGAGATATGATAACAGTTATTAGACTTAATTGTGATCACATCATAAGGTACATAAATGTCAAATCACTATGTTGTACACCTGAAACTAACATAATATTGTATTAACTATAATTTTTAAAAGTATTCCCAAAAAAAACAAAAAAATGGGCAGAGAACTTGAATAGACATTTTCCCAAAGATGACATAAATGGCCAACAGATACATGCATTGTTGGTAGGAATGTAAAGTAATATAACCACTATGGAAGACAGTATGGAGGTTCCTCAAAAAACTTAAAAAAATAGAACTACCAGATGTAATCGAGCAATCACACTTCTGCGTGTATATCTAAAGGAAATGAAATCACTAGATAAAGACAGAAGAGATATGTGCACCCCCATGTTCAATGCAGCATTATTCACAACAGCCAAGACAGGAAACAACCTAAGTGTCCATTATGGATTAATGTGATGTTCAAAGAAAATATACTGTATACACAGAATGCAACACTATTTAGCCATAAAAAAGCAAATCCTGCTTTTTGCAATAACATGGATGTACCTTGAGGGCATTATGCTAAGTGAAATGTCAGACAAAGAAAGACAAATACTGTGATCTCACTTATATGTGGAATCTAAGCAGAAGTCACAGAAACAGAGTAGAATAGTGGTTACCACAGGCTAGGGATGGGGGAAATGGGAGATGTTGATCAAAGTGTACAGACTTCCAGTTAAAAGGTGAATAGTTCTGGTGATCTAATGTACAGCATGGTAACTAGTTAACAATACTGTATTATGTACTTGAAAGTTACTAAAAGAATAAATTTTAAATGTTCTCACCATAAAAAAAAAAGGTAATCCTGTGAGGTGATGGAGGTGTTAACTAACCTTATTGTGGTAATTATTTCACAATATATACATGTATTAAGTCATCATACTGTACACCTTAAACTTACACAATGTTATATGTCAATTATATCTCAATAAAGCTGGGGTTAAAATCATACGGGGAGACAACACACACATTCACACATTTCCCAAATGACTTAAACAAGAATGTACATAGCAGCATGTATCTATGTTAAGTTTCAATTACGTTTTAAAAAAAATCATATTGGGAGCATGTCAAACGTCTCTGTCATTTTTCTGGTCTGTTGTTTCTACTTAGAGGCTGAGGTTCCCTACTGTTTGCAGGGTTCTTTGGCCAAACTCTGGCCACATTAGTGAATCTAGCCTATTGTTTTCTTCCTCCAAGCATTGGCTTCAGAGCATCTGTAACAGTGTTTTTACTTCCCTTAGGAAGTGGCTGATGAAGAAATTGCTGCCCTTCCCCGGGATAGCTGCCCTGTTAGAATCAGAAATCGGTGTGTTTTGACGTCCCGTCCACGTGGTGTGAAACGGCGTTGGCGGCTTAGTCGGATCGTCTTCCGTCACTTAGCCGACCATGGGCAGATGTCTGGGATCCAGCGAGCAATATGGTAATCAGCTTCAGAACCAACTGAGTTTGCAGGGAAACTGGTTCTGATAAGATGACACTTTTCTAATAGTCAAGAACCTAGTTTTAATAGGTGTCCAGTATAGGAGTCTAGTCTACCTGATGTCTAAATTACTTTTAAATTTTCAATGAAGAAATCTGGATGTTTCATTTTTTCAGTGAATTATCTTTCCTGTTGGACAAAATTAAACGTAACTGTTCCCAAGCATGGTGCAGAGTAATAAAAAAATATTTTCTGTGAAAACATGCTCTGAATGCTTGCCTTTTCCTTCAAATTTAATAGCCTAGCAACAAAAAAGCATTCCTGTATTTAAGGGCATTATCTCAAAAAGCAGTATTTATCTTATAGTTAATCCAATTCATTGATAGCTAGTTCATCTATGGCAATCTGTAACGTTGGGCTGGCTTCCTGACCTGCACGTTTCACTGTTCTGTTAGTTCATTGTTAAGAGAAACAGTATGTTGGAAGGTAGAGCTGATGTGTCAGTTATCTAATGCTCAATTTCTTTGTATGATGACTGAACAAACAGCAGAAACACTAAGTGTTTTCTTGTTTCATCTTCAAGGGCCCTTAGAACAAAGCCCCTGAACATCTATCCAAAGAGGAAAAGTTTTGCCCTAACCCATTTTGTTCAGTGGTTAGAGCATCGGCCCATAGATTGAAGGGTGTTGGGTTTGATTCCAGTCAAGGGCACACACCTCAATTGCAGGCTCAGTCCCCGGCCCCAGTCAGGGCACATGTGGGAGGCAACCAGTCGATGTCTCTCTCTCACATCGATGTTTGTCTCTCCCCCTTCCACTCTCTGAAAAGCAATGGAAAAAATATCCTCAGGTGAGGATTAAAAAAAAAAAAAAAAGGAGGAAAAGTTTTGTGTAGTATATATTCTCTATATTCATGTTTATCTCACCGGAAGGAAAAATGAGTAAAAGCAGCAAAAGGTTATCTCGTGCAGTCACAGTGTGACCAGCCCGTGATGAAAACGTGCATTGTAGTATGGCAGCACCTACTTAACATCCGGACAGTATTCCTGGAGCCGACACCTGCACTTACATCAGGAGGCCAGGGATGACACTCTTTGCAGACAGAACAGTGGAAGCAAAGGCATAGAGGCATCAAAGAGTGAAACTAGTCACTTCAATGTATCCAATACAAAGTGCAAGACAAGGGTCACACCACAGAAGATGTCATATGACAAGGAGTTAAGACTTAAATACCAGCTATTGGAGTTCTAAGCATCATCACCAGCTTGCTCTACAGAGCTGTGGTAGATGGCCATGAGAGGAAAAGGCTACATACAGGATAACAGTTCCAGACGGTGTCTTAATTGTTCAGGTAGATGAGGGCCTGAACTGAAGTAGTGATATTAGCAAAGGAGATGACAGGACAGATTTAAGTATTATTTAGGAAAGAAAATTGGGCAAGACTAAGAGACTGCTTATAACTAAGAGGTAAAAAGGCTTTCTGGGTTTGTGGTAAGGGTGACTACACAGATGGTAGAAAGCAACTCCCAGAAAGAAGATATGGGGGGAAAAGAATGGGTTTAGGGAAATGATCTCTAAGTTCCAGTTTCAGTCATGCAGTGTTTGAGAGGCCTGGGCCATCCTGAAGAAGTCTACTGTGCAGCTGGATAGCAGAGTCTGGAACGTGGTGGAAGTGAAGTTATATGAGGGAACTGTCATGATATACCTTGAATTTGTATTTCCTAAATTTATCTTACAATTTACAAACTGGAATGCTGTAGCTAATCCCAACTAGAAACTAGTGTTAATCAAATTATAACTAGAACATCACATTTGCTGATCTCTGGCTTTCACTGATGACACCCCCAACCTTTTTTGTTTGAGTCAGGATCCAAGTGCAATCCTTATTTGGTTGCTAGGTCTCTTTTCTCCATGCTTTTCATTTGTTGGAGGAGCCAGGTTGTATGTCCTGTGGTGTGTTCAACATTTGGCTGTTTGCTTCTTTATGTGTCCTTTAACTTATCCCTCTGTCCCTATCAACTGGATGTTATATCCAAAGGCTTACTAGACACAGGTCCAATATTTAGAAATGAATTTTTGTAAGTGTGCTGTGTACTCTGTCACATCACATCAGAAGGTACATATCTGGTTGTCCAACGTCTAGTGATGATTGATCAGGGGGCTCATTCTGACCCCTACATTTAAAGTTCATCATTTATTAACCTGTTGTCTATCACTAAGGATTCCAATGGTGATACTCTAAATGCCATTATTTTTTCTGCATTACCTGGAATTTGTCTGTAAGGAACTTTCCCCTATCAACAAGTTATTACTCGAAATACATTTCTTACAATAAAGACCTGATAAATGCATGATTTTCTATCAGTCTTCAGAGTAAATGAATTGGTGCTCTAGCAACTTCCAGAGGTAACAAATAATTTTTCACTATCCCAAACTTGTAGATTTTCTGTTTCAATCCACCCCAGACATTATTTTGAGGCTCAAATTAATCCTCCCACTGTACTTTATCCTGTTGACTTGATACAGGATACATGACCTTTCCTCACTTTCTGGCGTAAGATAACCCAGGCTTACCTTTATATTTCCTGCCTCAGACATTTTTTTCAAGAGTCCCTGGTCTTGTTAGTATGCAATGGTGTGGAAAGACCACATCTGAGCACTCAGGGTGCTGCTGACTACTACTGAATTCTGAATTGTCACTGCTGTAAGCTTTTAGGCCCTTTTGGTGGGACGGGCAAAAAAATGGGTATTTTTTTCAAGATAAAAATATAAAGTTTATATTGATTTTATACATGTAAACATCTTAGCTCCTAATGACATCAATCTAATTTATCTCACTAGCGACGGACAGTCAAAATACCATGCTCTAAAGTCACTTGAAAGCAACGTGCATTGATAACAACTTGCTGAGTATTAGGTGTTTTGTTGTAAATTTCAGGGTTATTTTTTATTTAGCCTTTAAATTGTAGATGGTTCTAATGTCAAAAGGTACATTCACAGAAATACTGCTTCCATTCTACCTCTCCTTTCCCATTGCTAACCATTTTTATTAATTTGGGCTTACTCTTCCAGTTTCTTTATGAAATTCACATTTCCACCCATTCTAACACTAAGGCAGTTAAGTATACCAGAAACAGCATTCTGCACTTTGCTATTCCACTTCCTGTATCCTGGTGATCACTCAATACACCAGTGTACAGAAATAATCAATTTTTTGTGTGACTCTTAAGTACTCCCCATGTGATGTACCATAGTTTATTCAGCTAGTCCTCTATTAAATGACATTTGGGTGTTTCCAATCTTTTGCACATATCATTCCAAATTTTGGCCAGTTACCTTTGGGGAGAGCCTAGAATTGAGTCAGATGATAAATGCACATGTAACTGGTAGATTACAAACTGCCCTTCTCCACAAGTTTTAACCTTCCCATTCTTTTGATTCCATTCCCATATATGAATTTCTCCATACCCTCAACAGTATGCTAAACTTTGGGTTTTCCCAATGAAAGGTAAAAAGGGCTTTTTAATTTATCTTCTAAACAAGGTGGGCATCTTTTCATGTTAAAGTTCACTTGCATTTCTTTTTCTCTGAACAACTTGTTCTTAATTTTGGAATCTTCTTGACGTGTCATGTTTTTATTATTGTGGGATTTATTTTTTGGCCATGTAAACATTTATGATGTAGTTAAAAATTAACCAGTATTTAAGCCTTACTACCAGATTTTAAGTCACATAGTGCAGGCTTTCCTCACTCTTTAATAATGGAGTTCTATCCATGTCTTCTAGTACTCACATGGATTCATTTTTGTATTTAAATCTTTCAGCTATTTGGAATGTATACATACGGGTTATTTTTGGTTTATCTCAGTAAAAGCCCATCTCTTCCCCGTTTTGAAATGCTATTATAGGCATACCTTGGAGATATTGCAGGCTTGGTTCCAGACCACCGAAATAAAGTATCGCAATAAAGCGAGTTGTAATCTTTTTGCTGGTAGAGGGTCTTGCCTTCTTTTTGTAAAAAATGCAAACCTGTGAAGCGCAATAAAGTGAAGCTCAATACAACTTCTGCCTGGGGTCTTTTTCTATTCTGTTCCATTGGTCAGTTTATTCTTGTTTCAACATCACAGCTTCAATTAGAGTTTTACTAATGTGGTCAGTAGCAGTACCAACTAGCCCATATACAGGCTGTTTATTCATTTTAAATGTTACCTACCAAATTCTCATAGTAGTTTTGGTTAATCTTGGATTTTCCCTCTGTGTTTCTCTACTTCAGTTGCATTGGCAGATACCTCCAATACAACGTAGTGATGGAGGTCGTAGGCATTTTTGCTCTTACTCCTGTTTTTAGGGGCAGCAATTCCCTCTAAAATAAATAATCCCCCCCTCCCCCCGCCAAAGCCTAACTTTTCCTGGATAAACAAATAGTAAATGTATTCCACTGAATAAAAACCTAACTTTATTGAAAATAAGAAAAGATGGATTTCCACATTTGTTTTTGGCTTATGGTTATTGTTTTGTAAGCTATCAGATCCATGGCAAAACTTACTAATTGGTTACTATACAAGATGTTTGTCTATTCTTATCAATATCAGATTCAGTTTCAATTTACTCATAAGTAAATATATTTAAACCTAGAGAAAAACATTTGTGATTGGATCATTAGGGCATCATAATGCAAGGTATGTGCATTACTTAAGCTGCTAACAAAAGAGAGATCAACTTCTCTACAGCAACCTTGAAGCACAGATACAAATTTGCATTTTCTGAAAAAAATTCAAGTTGTATTTACTTATTCTTACATTGGTGAGAACTAATGTCAGGAACTTAACAAGCAGTAACTTTTTTCCTATCTCTTAGCTGAAAAAAAATACACACAAATATGGCATTTTCATTAGGTAAGACTTGCTTCTTTACATTTCACGAGAATGCAATTATTACCCTTTCTTGGACAAAATGACCAGTTTACTAAAGAAACCATCTTTAGAGGAAGTGTTTAATAAGCATATTTTATTTAAATAAACCCTCCAGTAGGAGAATTCATTTACTTAGAAGGCTCTGTAAAGTTATCTGTTAAATTTATCTGTGCAGCTCACCAACATGTCCTTATTGGAAACATCACCATTTCCACATCACAGTTCCCAAAAGAACTTTAAAGTCTCAAAATTCTGTGTCTCCTTTGGCTTGCTTCTCTCTTGATTGTACCCAGGCTTTATTAATGGTTCGCTTCATATCATCATCTCCATCTTCATAAATTTTCTTTAGAACATTCATCAATCCCTCACTAGGATCTGTTTCAGTGTCATAGGAGGGCTTTCTGTTAAAAAAAAAACCACCACAATAATTAAGAGATATATATACATCTAAAAATGGAGAAATGTGTGTGTATACACAAATGATCCCATTTACTGACAAATTTTATATGCATGATTACTAAGTATGGAAAGACAGATATAAGGTTGTTAACATAGCAAGTGGAGGAGAGGAGGTAAGAGGAAGATATCAAGTATCCAAAGATACTCACAATTAATACAGCACTTACAAATTCATCTTAATGAAAACAATATACACCCACACATCTCTCTGGTTCTATGAAAGGAAAGTCCTCAAAATGGCTAGGGGTTTTCTTGGGACAGTGGGATTTTAGGTGATTTTTAACAGAAAAAGTAAATAAATAAGCATTTACTTTTCTGGTCTTAATTTTTTAAAAGCATGTTTTCTCATATTACCTGGAAAAAAATTTTAGAGAAAAACACAAACATATATTACATATGGACACACAATGAAGTTCATATATTTTTTTAATTAGAAAAGCCCTACTCCTAAGCCTGAGATTATGGTATGGTCCTGGTGGTAAAAACAACAGTCCTTAATGTAGTCAATGCTTTTAGTTCAATCAATGTTCAACCTAGGCCACTTAACTTCATATTTAATTCTTCACTCACCTCACTTATGAAGTGTCAGGTAATATACTGGACACTGGAAATATATAGTAAGACAGGGTCCTGTTCTCTGGTAATTCACTCTAGATTTAAAATCAGTTCCACAGAGAGTGCCTAACTCTAGCCAACCACATCCGAAATGCATGCTGGCTATCATGCAGAGAGAAAGGAGTGAGAGAAAGGTGGATGGCTAACTGACTCCATGTAGTACATTACCAATGCAGGGGAATGTGTGACCTAAAATGGAAGTGTCTTTCAATAAACATTTTTTTTAAATAGCATTAAGTAGGATAAAAATATTCTATCTTTTCCACTCTACATGTGACAATGAAACTCCATAACTACATTATCAGAAACTTCTGTGGAACTCAAAAAACATAGGGTATTTGGATCTCTCTGGAACTACTGAAATGGAATCTCCCGGAATGGGCACCATATTTAGAGTAGCACCACTGGCCCAGGATTAAGAACCAGCACAAAACAGCCAACCAAATACAACATGCTGGACACTTCCGGCAGGTTCTGATAGTTGCAGATGTTAAGATAATCGGGTTAGTCAGTGGACATTGAGAGGTAAAAGGTCAAGTCACAGACTGTATAATTCTGTTATCCATAAAGACAAATTATTAAAAATCTATACTCCCAGCAAAGAATACATTAAAATTCTTAAAGAAATGAAAGTGAACTCACTCTTTCTCTTTGCACTCTTTTTCAACCTGAGTCAGGTAATCCCACCGTGTGTTTTCTACTTTCTTTCTACATAAGATAATCACTGTATCTGTCTTGACCTGGAAGAAAAGTGGGAAAATGGGTACAACTTAGAACACACAGAGAGAATCGTGAATGTTTAGAAGACAATTATTTACTCACTAATCATTACTTCAATGTGTAGGACCTGTTTTAGGAACTAGTAATGCGTTTATGAATAAGCCAGGGTCTGAACACTCATTAAGAAAGACTGCAACAGATAAAACTAGAGTACCTTCAAATACTAAGTGCTCTTCCCAAGACAAAGAAGGTGTTAATTGGGGCTGGAGGAGGATCTGCATTTGAAAAAAAGAATGGCTGGATTTTGGTGAAGGGTGGAGCAACATAGTAAGAAGGGTAAGAGGTAGAAAATCCAATCATATAAGGCAGCACTGATAATGAGTCTGAAGGTAATGAGAAAACAGGAAGAGCAGGAGTGTACAATCCCTCCAGCAATGATCTAAGTCTTTTGAGTATCCTTCAACTATGGAATTAGCAGAAAAAAAGTGAGCAGTGAGACCCAAGCTAATCAATAACTTATATTCTGTTACCTTTAAGCTGCTATGTAATTCTATGTAAATAGGTGGCAGAATAGCACATCTATATACCGGATGCATTAAACCTCATTTATTTAAATCAGGTAGAAAAACGGGATTATATGAATCAGTGAAAAGGGCAAGTAATAGTTTTTTAAAAGACAGTTTATTTTTAGCTTGTACTAACACCAACTAGGTTTAGTACTGAAGACTTTTCATGTATCAAAACCACATAGAGCTTCTAATAACAGCGACCACTAATTTAAACATTTTATATCTATTTCATTTCAGAATATCATTTCAACTTTGTGAAATAAATTGTTATTCCCATTATATAAATGAGGAACTGGGACACAGAGGTATTAAGTGACCTGCCAGTTAAGTGGCAAGACTGGCACTAGAACTCAAGTCCCACCCTTAACCACTTTAAAAGCTTATTCCTCTCCTGATATTAAACCATATTCTTATAATAATTTATTTTTCTGGAGCAAGAGTTGACAAACTTTTTCTGTAAAGGGCGAGAGTAAATATTTTAGGCAGCCACATACACAAATAAGTGTGGCTATGTTCAAACAAAACTGTATTTACAAAATGAGCAACATGCTATAGTTTGCTGACAGAGGATTAATTCTGTTTCATCTCAACTATAAATCGACCAGTACAATATAATGAGGTTTCACAATGACAAAAAAAAGCAGACTTACTTTTTTTGAACTGCCTTCCACAGAGATGGGTTTCAAGAGATTGTTCACAATCATGGAGTAATTCTTCCCATTTAGATTCTTCACCAGAAGATCAAACGACCTACAATACAATAACAAACACATTACTTTTCTGGTTCTATGAAAGGTGCTGTCTAGCTCTTGTGAAAATAGGCCACCAGTTTTGTTTCAGAAAGACCATTTGGTCATCCCACAGAAGACTCATCCCTTCAAGCAGGTGTGTAGGATAGTTAACTCTGAATTTTAGATACAGCAAAGAAAAGAGCCCGTAACAAGGTAATTGCTGAATTAAAGCTCACCATCTTCCTCAGGATGAGAACTCACCTGTCTGTGAAGCGCACCTGCACATTCTCCGTGGGGGCTTGATGGACTCCAGTTAAGGTAATGTAGATTTTCACAAACTTATCCGACTGATCCCATCCTAGTAACAAAAACAGTAAAAAATGTGACAGGAGTCAACTCTGATATTATCTCTGAAACAGTAAGTGCATGTGGCTTATAATAAAACTCAGGAAAATGGAAATCCAGTAATAGAAACACGAAAAACTTAAATTTTAAGAAATTTTCTAGATGGAGAAGTTGAATAATCTACCCGAAATTAGGCATTTAGCCAGTGGTAGAACTTGGATTCAAATCCATGTTTACCGAATACAAAGTCCATGTTCTTTTTATTCCTCAAAATAAAGAATATATATTCTTTAATGTTCATTTCCCCTATTTATGGAAATAATTTTGTCCTATACCTAAATATTGGTAACTCTCCATTAAGCTGGATTACTAATTCCATGATCATTTCTACTTATCTAAGCACTTCAACAAACACAACCAAAAGCTGTGTTCCATATACACCAAGGAGGTTCCTTCTTTTTTTAAAGTATGTCTTTATTGATTTGAAAGAGAAGAAAAAAAAGAGAGAGATAGAAACATCAATGATGAGAGAGTCACTGACCAGCTGCTCCCTACACACCCCCTACTAGGGATGGAGCCCACAACCCAAGCATGTGCCCTGACCAGGAATTGAACCTCGGTTTCCTGGATGGTAGGTTGATGCTCGACTGCTGAAGCACGCGGGCTGGGCAAGTAGGTTCCTTCTCGCTGCTACGTATTGTACTAAATCAGCTTGCTCTGGTAATAGCTACTAGAATGTATACTTTCCTTTTTTATCTCTTAAAAAGCATCTTATTAAATAAATGATGGGTACACTCTTTCAAGCCACCAAAACAAACACTCAAAACTATTTTAAAAATTAAGTTTGTTAAGTTGGTCACTTTTGAGGACTTGGTTGCTCACAGGCAGAAAAAGCTGTATGTAGGGGAGCGCCTCATACCATAATTACTGATTTTCACTGTGTATCCCGTTGTAATGGGAGCAACCATGGCAGCTGGCTTTTCATTGTCAAGAAGTTCTGTTTTCCTCGGTGATTTCTGCTGCATTTTGTTCTTGATTTCTGTCTCAATCTTGGATTTTTCAGCTGTAAGAGTATCACGTACTCTCTTTCTAGTGGCCTTTTCCAGCAGAACCTTCACCTCTTCTAGATCTTTCTGTAGCTGTATTAAAGTAAAAGATAGTTAGCTATGATAAATAAGATAAAAACTTGATATTGTGCCTACTGGTCATTTCAGTTTACTGAAATAAGAACTAAGAAGAGGTTCATTTAAATTTTCTTGGGTTGGATAGCAATTTGAATTTCCTCCAGCCTATTGAATTGTAAATAACTCAAGCTTCCTTTTTTTTTAAATGAAAATTTAACAATTGGAGATGAAGAAATCTTTTTTTTTTTAAAGAAAAGTTTATAGATTTCCTTATAACATGCAATCCTAGTCATCAGATACTAGGAATTTTAACAATATTAAAATAAAAAGACAACTGAATTCACGATGAGTGATGAAATGCTCCAGCAACTTCACTGAGGTTATCTAACTTCTGTCAGGGACTGTTCTTTACTGATCTTCCCTCACTAAATACCCAAATATTACACCCCCTTAAAATTTAATTTTAAAATTAAAAAGTTTAAAATTTTAAGACAAAATATCAAAAAGCTGATCTCTGTTTTTAAGAAAGTCTTGTTCTGAAGCTCCAGGATTAACCGTATGGTTGAAAGTCTGGGACTTCGTTGCACAGTAGAGAGAAAAAACCTGGGCAAACAATCCAACATACAGTCCTTCCTGATCACTTAAAAAGTCACCTGTTCTTTCTTCATGCCAGTACCTCGCCTACTGAAGTCTACTACTTTCTAGAGGTAGAGCCAACATTTTTTTAAGTTTGAGAGCTAAAGACACCGTTGGAAAATTAATGGGCTTTAAAATACGTTCCGTTATCCTCTGACACATTACAAATAAGGGATTCGTTTTTCTTAAAATAACTTTACATTCTGGCTTGATACTAGCAACTTGATAGGAAGGTGCTTATGTGATAGCCTGAGAACATATAAAAAACTCAATATAAATACATTTAAATAACTCAGTCTAATATCTGAAGAAGAGTTTAGATGACCTAATGTTTCTTAAGTCGTATAAAAATGCAGTAACAGAAAAATTAATGCTTTTATCTGATTTAACTCAGATGCCCTTGCTTCATCATCTGTAACTGATAACACGGTATAAAAAGTTCAACTGTGCCCAGTCTCCTGTCCATATTCTACAAGACCTACAAACTCATATTACTAAGACAAAAAAAAAAAAAAAAATTGCAAACTCATCTTGGGAGCATAACACCAAAATGTTGTAGTTCAAAACAATCTTTTTTATTAAAATGGTTTAAATTTTTCACATTGATTCTAATACCAACATGATAAATATACTGAAATGTAAAGTTAGTGTATCTGTTCCCAAAAATTTAGTTTAAAAAAATGTACCAAATCTAAACAAGAGGTTTTACTTCTTGACTAGAATAGGAATCCTTTTTCAAGTAGACTCTAAAAAAGAACTCTGAGAATTAAGGCCCTCTATAGCCAGTTTTGGCTCTCAAGTACTAGAAATGTACGGTGCATCCACTGTAAGTCTGTTCCGTGCACAGTAATAGTGATCCCTTTGGTGCCTTTCCTGCCTTAGATAGAGCAGTTTCTCATCTAATTTATCTTGGCATTCACTTGTTTTCCTTATGCAAAATCACATATCCCTTTTATCCCCACCCAGAAACACATTCAAACTTATCTTCTAATCTAGTTCCAAATTCTACACTAGGAGGCATTAAAATCAAAGTGCCTCAAAATGGGGAAAGTGCTGAATAGACATTTCTCCAAAAATATACAAATGCCCAAACCACCAAGCACATGAGAAGGTGCTCAGCTTCATTTATTAGTCATTAAGGAAATGCACATGAGATACCACTTCATACCCACTAAGATGGCTAAGTTCAACAACAAAAACACCAGGAAAATAACAAGGGAACCTTCAGTCACTGCTTGTGGGAATGTAAAGTTTGGAAAGAAGTTTGGCAGTTTCTTAAAGTTAGTTACCATATGACATTGCAATTCCACTCCTAGGTATAGCATACACTTCAGAAAACTGAAAACCTATGTCCACATAAAAAGTTATACACAAGTACTCATAGCAGCCTTGTTCATAACAGCCAAAGCATAGAAATAATTCAAATGTCCATCAACTGATGAAGTGACAATCAAAATGTGGTATCCATACAATGGAATATTTATTCAATCATAAAAATAAATAAAAGCTACACCATGGATTAACTTGGAAACATTATGCTAAGTGAAAAGGAGCCAAAAAGCAAAAGGCCACACATTGTAAGCTTTATTTATATGCAATGCCCAGAACAGGCAAATCCATAAAGACAGAAGGTGGACTGGTGGTTGCTGCGGGAGGAGAAATGGGGAGTGACTATTTAATGGACCCCTAATGGGTTTCTTTTGGGGGGTGATGAAAATGTTCTGGAATGAGTGGTGATAGTTTTACAACACTGTGAATATACTAAAATGATTTGTATGCTTTAAAATGGTTTAAAACAGTGAATTTTATCTCAAACAAAACAAAATTCCCCGTGAAGTATCCCTAAATGTTTATTTTTAAGTACCCCAATTGAGAAAGTCCCTTGGGGTAGCTTAGAGCATCTTCAGATGTGCCAAGGTTTGAGTTCCATCCCCGGTCAGGGCACATACAAGAGTCAACCGATGAATGCATAAATAAGTGGAACAACAAATTGATGTCTCTCTCCCCCTAAAAATCAACTTTAAAAAAAAATAAAAAGAGCCCTGGCTGCACAGCTCAGTTGGTTAGAGCGTCATCCTGATACGCCAAGGTTGCGAGTTCGATCCCAGGCAAGGGCACGTGAACACATAAATAAACAGAACAACAAATCACTGTTTCTCTCCATTCCTTCATCTCCCACTCTTTCTTCCTCTTTCCCCAAAATCAATTAATTAAAAAAATCAATTTTTAAAAAAAAGAAAGTCCTTACTTTGAAGAGGATGAATACTGAGCTATCCTTATGACTGTCAAGTTACTTCGGAGATTATTTCCTCAGGGCACATGGTGCCCCAAGGCTTCTTTAACCCATAACATAAACTTGTGGCAAGTTACCCAGCATAATACTTACACACACACTTTTTCTTCACTTAAAGCTGAGTCTGAGATGTCAAAAAGTCAAATCTGAGATTCCTGTTTTGATCATATTGAGGAAAAGATTTCCAAGAAACAAATGTAGACATCCAACACCTCACTGTGATACTGACATTCAACTTAGACCAGGGAAGGAGCAACCCAAGTATTATTAGTCCCAGGCTGTAACTGCGAAACTAAGTCTCCAAAAGAGTTAGGCGGCCTCGGTTCAGTTTATAGATCTTACAAGAGGAAAAGGCTGTTCCCCACCACTACTTACAACTAACTTTCCAATTTATTTCTTTACGCATATAGCAGGTGGCTGTTCCCCAAGCACCGTTTAAACAGAACTATTACTCGGTCTTCACAAGCCTATGACACGGGTACTTCTCAGAGAAGCACAACAAAGTGCCCAAAATAACACGGCTGCTCGCGCGTGCAGAGAAAACATGCCTGAGCGAATTAAAGCGCTGGGACCAAAGCCTTCCCACCTGCCCTGGAGTGACACTCGGGGCCCGCGACTGGCCCTAATTTAACGAAGCGTCACGTCCCCGAGCTAGAAGAGCGGGCGCGGAAGGGGCCTGAGGCAAACCTCCAAGTGACCAGCTCGCTCC